CCTTGTTGTACTCCTTTCCCTATTTTGAACCAATCGGTTGTTCCATGACCGGTTCTAACTGCTGTTTCTTGGCCCACATACAGATTTCTCAGGAGGCAGGTAAGGTCTGGTACCCCCCATCTCTTTAAGAATTTGCCACAGTTTGTTGTGATCCACACAATCAAAGACTTTTCCATAGTCAATGAAGCAGAAGTAGATGTTTTTCTGGAACTCTCATGCTTTCTCCATGATTCAGCAGATGTTGGCAATTTGATCTTGCAATAAGAATAGATAAATTAAACCTACTAACAATGTATAACTAATAAAATCAAGGAAACATCAGCAACAGACAATATAAAAACCAGAGGAGCTGGTCCCCAGGGCCAGGCCAGAAGCCACAAGTCCCCAGTCAGAGAAAGACGGCATTTCCTGAGAATAAAAGTTTTAAGCTCAGATTTAAAGATGAAAAAGACTTCTTCCCTGAAGAGTTAAGGGGGAGTCAATTGCAAAGATGTTGGACTAGATCTTAAAAGGTGCAGCTTTGAATTTGCTGTTGAAGCAGCAAGAACAGCTGAATGGGAAGATTTTGTGGGGAATGTCAGGTGTAAAAAGAGGCAGTTTGGTGTAGTGCTTAAAGCATCTGGCTTATATCTGGGAAAAGGCACGAAGCCAGCTGGGTGACCTTGGGCCAGTCCTCTCTCTCAGCCCTAGGATGCAGGCAAGACTTGAGATTACCCACAAGGGAGGAATGGTTGGTGAAGAAGATGAAATTACAGAGACAGCTAAGTGGACTTCCTTAAGGCATTATCTACATTCATTGCTGACTGGAACCCCTTAGAGACTTTTTGTGTGAACTTATGACTTTTCGTTTTGATTAGAAACAAATAGATAATAGAAAAAAGAGTGTTTGTTTTTGTAACCATAGAGTAAGAGGTAATTTTGTGTTTGTAATTATACTTCCTGTAAAGGGAAATGGGAGTAACTTCTATTTCTATTTTTTCTTTTTATACTTTTGACTTTTTTCTTTCTTTTTTTTTTACTATGAATTAGTTCTTGTTACTTTTTATATTCTGTTTAAAATTCTTAATAAAAGTTGTATCAACAAAAACAAAAACAAATATCTGCTGTAAGGGTCAAGGGCACTGGACAGAAAGCCACGAGTTCTAGTTCAGTGGTGGGTGAGGCATGAAGGCAGCTTCCAGGAGCTGTGGAATATTGAGGTGTCAGTTGAGAGCCAAAAAAAGACAGTGGGTGTAGGTAGGCAGTGGGGATTAAAATGAGCAAAGGGGCCTCTTTCTCAGCCAGGGAGCTGTACAGCAAGTGCTTTTCTTGGGTTCCTGAATGAAAAGGGAATAAAGAAAAGATATCTTGGGGTTATTTGAATTCAGATTCCTCCATGGAACTGAGCTGAA